CTTATGCTCTGTCTCTCTCTGTCTCTCAAAAATAAATAAATGTATATATAAAAAAAAAGGAAAACCAATCATACAGACGTTAGAAGGCAGCAGCATTAGCCAAAACTCCCTTTCTTGTAAAAGATGAAATCCCAAAGCTTACTGGACAATTAAAACATACGCAAAATCCCAGAGCCTTTTACGAAAAGAGCAGCTAATCCACTCTGACCTTGTCCCCAAAAGGGAGCTGCCAGAAACAAGCAGTTGTGACAACTTTTTAAACATCTCAAGGAACCTCAGAAGGGGGCCAACAACTAGACCAACACACGAACTCAAGAAATAATAATAACAATAATAATCCTGATGATGATGGCCACACAAACACGTACCAGCACAGGTGCACACACATAGACCACACGCCTTCTGTACACCCGGGGCACCTCCACACGTGCACACACCACCTACACGATCACATTCACATCTGCACACACCTGCAAACCCGACAGGTGCGTGTGGGCAGGCACACCCTCGTGTGCACACACGTGCAGACACGCGCACGCACAAGCGCATTCCGAGACCACGGCTGCGACTGCATCACACCCGGCCCCTCTTCAACCCTCCTAACGAATCTGTGAAGCAGGCACTGTTTTTCAGATGAGGAAACTGAGGCACGGGGAGATGAGATCATTTGTCCAAGGATTCCAGTCCAGTTCTAGGGGAATGTTCTCAGCTTCGACTCTTCACTGAGAGGCACGGTTCTAGGACCCAGACCACAGAAGAGAGAGCTCCACCTGACAAGGTGTCCATTCCAGAATAAACCAGGTCTAGACTATCACAGAAGGCCCAGACTATGGGGGCGCCTGGGTGGCTCAGTCGGTTAACTGGCTGACTCTTGATTTCGGCTCCCGTCACGATCTCAGAGTTCACGAGTTCGAGCCCTGCATCAGGCTCTGCGCTGACGGTGCGGAGCCTGCTTCGGATCCTGTCTCCCTCTCTCTGCCTCTCTCCTGCGTGTGCTCTCTCTCAGAAATAAATAAATTAAAAAAAAAAAAAGTCTTAGACTATTTCTGACGTATCATCAGAGAAGGTCCGGCAAGGGCAGACAGACAGCTCCTTGGTTATCTTTTTCTCTCTCCTTTCTCTGCAACCCTAAGCCTGGCCCAGTGCCCTACACGCGGTAGGTCTTTTGTAAATATTAGTGGAATTAAATTTCCCCACAGTCCCACGCTCAAACAGCAGAGTCAAAGCAAACAAAGGAAAATGCCATGGGAAAGACTGGAGATTTTCAGTTAAGATTTTAGACCCGAACAAGAGAGACATTCAGAGCAGCAGTGAGTTCCAGACCACAGAGGCCACAAGGAGCCAGCGAGACTGACAAGGGTTGCCTTCTGCAAAGACACACCCCCTAAACCCAGCGTCCTCATGAAGACAGAGCTCTGGAGCGTCACCCAAGCCCACTGTGCAGAAGGCTTTGTCACCCCTGGCTGTCCTGTAGCACCTGATATGGCAGACACTGGGACACAGCATGGTTTAGTGGGAAAATTCCACCCTACAGTCACACGGCCCTGGGCTCAACTCTGAGCTCTACCATCAGTAACGAGTTGTGCGTGACGGCTGGGGGCAATCACCTAACCCTCATCTGAAGATGGGGATACTCAGACCTACTGTCCACACTGTCCCTGGGACAGGAAAGGCATTGAATGACACACACAGGTAAAGATACAGCACCTGAAACGCAGCAGGTGCTTCATAGTAGGTACTCGCATCATTCGTGGGTCCCGTTCTGCTGCGGAAGCCAGAGCTGCTGAGGAGCTACGGGACGGCGAATGAATGCCCGTGTACCCAAGGCCAGGAGCTAATTATCTCTGCCCTAAAACTTTGACACGCACCACCTGTCACTCCTATTCATGTCTTCTCTTGTCTTCACAGCAATCCTGCTCAAGAAACAGTACCGCATCTTCTAACAGAAAGCCAAGGTGACCAGAAAATCAACTGTAGTTCAGAAATCGCCACCCTGCCATTCCTGCGTCACGGAGACAGGACTCACCCGCGAGTTGAAGTTCTTGTTCACAGCCACGCTGAGCAGGTCAACCGCGTACTTGGAGGAGCTGTAGGGCTCCTGGCCTCTGCTGTGCTGGATGTCCTCGAGGCAGAAATTCGATTTCCTCGCATTGCGAGACGATGTCCAGATAAGCTGGGAAGGACTGTCACTGTGACAGAGGAGAGGTGCCAGTTCCTGAATCTGAAGGAGATTTAAAAAAGAACAAAAAAGGAACAAAAAATGGATCGAAATCTACCGGAGGCGTACAGGGTAACAACCGGGAAACTACTATAAATGTATGCTGCGACTGAACAGGTAGGTCGTTGCCGGGCCGGCTCTTACAGACACGCGAGAGAGGAGGCCAGAATGATCCATGTGGAAATGAGTTCGAGACATCAGATGAACTGATGTTTAGCTTCATAAAGACACAGATGGTTACATATAAAAATATTTATAACATATACTATAACATCACTATAATATATACTAACATATACATGGGTTACTATGCACGGATTCTCTCCCTGCTCCGTCAGCCTAGAAGCTACTGATGCATCAATAGCAACGAGCCCTCGAATCTTGGTTTCTCATACCAGTGTCCAGCAAGAGGAACCAGATCTCCTTAGAGAAAAGGCGGATTCTAGGTCTGGGGCAGAAAATGTACCCGATGAGCCCACAGCATCGTGTAGTGCCAGAACGGGCATGCTCAAAACATAAACGGGAAACCATGACAATGAGGCTACGTCAAAGACATGCAGGATCCAACAGAGAGCACCCCCAATGGCCCAAAGGGACACAACTTGAGCAAATCATTTTTTTTGCACAAAATACGGTATTTACAACTCAAAGTAGGAAATGAGTATCCGCAAGCCCACGTGAATATAGTAAACGATTTTTTTTTAGCTTTTTTGAGATCAAATCGACCAAGAAATGATTGAATAAAGAATTAAATGGGGCGGGGGGCGCCCGGATGGCTCAGTTGGTGAAGCATCCAACTTCAGCTCAGGTCATGATCTCATGATTCATGAGTTCAAGCCTCGCATCAGGCTCTGTGCTGACAGCTCAGAGCCTGAAGCCTGCTTCAAATTCTGTGTCTCCCTCTCTCTCTCTCTGCCCCGACCCTACTCACTCTCTCTCAAAACTAAATAAATGTTTAAAAAAAAAAAAATTAAAAAAAAAAAAGAATTAAACGGGGAACAGACAAATCTTTCTTGCAGAAAGCTTCCAGATAATTTAGGTAGCTAATCGACCCTTCAGGGGGTCAAACACAACCTCTTAAGTGTGAGCTACACACACTAACTCTCTTCCAAAGAGTACAACATGGAAAAGGAGAGAAAAACCAGAGAGGAACTTGACAATGAGAAACCTGACCGACACTACCTTGAGCCAGGGGATTGAAGAGAACATCAATGCTGATAAGCCACGTTGACAGTTCACACCCTTGATATTATGTGACGAGAATGGTACTTAACCTCTGTGGTCCTCCTCCCACACATGACTCAAGTCTAACCACGAGAAAAACTTCAGACAAATCCCAACTGAGGGCTGCCTACAAAATACCTCAGCAGTGATCCTCAAAACTGTCAAGGTCATCAAAACCAAGGGCAGTCTGAACAACTGTCACAACCAAGGGGAACCTAAGGGGACAGCTACTAAATGTACTGTGGTATCCAAGATGGGATCTTAGAAGATTGAAGAAATCTGAATGAAGTTTGGACTCCCGCTAATAACAAGGTTGGTTCTCAGATTGCAACAGATGTACTACATCAAGGAAAGGTGTTAAATGAGACAGAAAACTGGGGGTCCAGGAACTCTCTGTACTATATCTGCAGTAATTCTGTAAATCAAACTATTGGAAAACAAACAAAAAACTTACTAAAGAAAAACCTAGGAAAGGTTCCAGATGCACTCCATCCACATTTGTGATGAATAAATCAAATGCAAGCAAGAGAACTCAAAAACACGAGATTAAATCAAGTTTAACTGGTACCACTCTGTGCTTGGAACTTCACGGAAATTACCTCTATACTCTGTAACGATCCTAAAAGTTTGGTCATGTTGCATATGGATCAAACTTGGGATGGATCCGTTTACAAAATGCACTGACACCTGGAGCCTAGAATGCAAGTTTGCGTTCCATAGAAAGTGGTAAGATTCTTAAACCTATTTGAAGAGAGTGGGAAGCATTCTAAGCCTCCTGATTATTTTATTAGACAAGTCAATTCCCAAAGTCCAGCTGCCTCGCCCACCTGTCAAAGGATCCACAGGCTGGGTCGTGTCAGCAGGACACCTATGCTAACTCTGCCCACGGCCACCACTCTCCTCACCCAGATGACCCCAATGCTTGATCTTCGGAACAACCTAATTTTTAAACACTAGATTCATCAAAAAACTCACAGAGTCGTAATAGCAATAATTATCTTCTATCGTTATCGATTAATTTAATAATTCAAGAAGAGGGCAAAGAACGAGTATCATAAAAAGATACAGGAAACACTAGATAACTGATCTGTGGAAAGGTATAAAAACAAAGACCAGACAAGAATTCAATCCCGTTCCGACTTTGCGTTCTAATGAACTTTTGCCATTGAAAAAGTAACACCACATCGCATTAAATAAACAGCACTAAAGGTTACGGACTGAAACATGAAAGTCCCCCTCCTTGCTGATACCCTGGTACCCGAGTTCATCAAGGTGACCAGTGCTCCCAGCTTCCTCTGTATCATTCTAGAAATATTATACACATTTATCTACACTCTGTGAGGATACATCTTCTCCTGTGTGTTTACATACACGAGACCACACTATACACATTATGCCTCGCTAGTCCTTCTTTATGATAAAATGCTAGAAGCTGTCCCACAGAAGTGCAAAATATTTATCACATGTCTTTGAACGGGTCCATACTGTTCCAGAGTTTGGCTACACCTTCATTTATTGCAAATACAGGCTGGTGCTGAAAGAGGTCCAATTTTAAGGGAAATTAGGCTTAAGGTGGAGACAGGTGGCGGCGAATAAAAAGGTGTCAGAAATACAGGTTCTGCGCTGGCCAGCCAGCATCAGAAGGAGTCCCTCCAACACCAAGGAATTACAGGCAACCAGCAACGTGGTCTGGCATTACTTCACGCAGACAGTAAAGCTGTCCCATGGGGTCAAGCCTGAGGCAAGAGCCCTGAACAAGCCAGGCAAACTGCACATCTCCTGCTTAACTCCACGCACGTGCCTGGAACTGTAATGCAGTATAGACACCCAAGAATCCGCAATCACACCCAAGAAACCCAATCAATAAAAGATCGGGTATGAATTCCCATTTAACAACGGCTTGCCCACCACCCCATCCTATCTGATGCCAAGCCCAGTGTCAAAGAACATTCAGAACAGGACTGGTATACTTTCTCACAGTTCTGTGCACACGTGCACGCACGCACGCGCACGCACACACACACACGCCGTGTGCCTCTTTCGCACTTCTCCCTCCACTCTCTAGAGCCAATGTCAAAAGAAAAAATTAATGTATCGACACACTGCTTTAGAGAAGCAATGTTTTCAGAGAGTACAGCGATCATCCTATTTAAGTACCAAACGACTTAATGCTAGCCAGGAATTTGTGAGCTGAACAAAGAGCCCTGGGCTGCAGCCATGTGAGCCTTCAAGGTTGCAACACTAATGTGAGCCGAATGAGCCTCAAGTCTTTTTACCAGGATGAAGTGGCCAAAGACGTTGGTCTCAAACACCTCCTGGAGCCCATCGGCAGTGATTTGATCTTCCTGGGTCAGCAATCCTTCAGCTGTGGAGAACATATGAATCACTTTTCTGAAACAGGAGAAGACAATTGTATGACTTTTAAAAGCTTCTTTAACTGAAGATCCTGAAAAACGCTCCCTGCTGCCCCTCCCCTGCCCCAAAACTACATTTTCCTTGATCCTATAACATCAGGAATAAAAACACGTGGGGTGCCCGGGTGGCTCCGCTGGTTAAGCAGTCGACTCGATCTCGGCCCCAGTCATGATCTCATGGTTTGTGAGTTCGAGCCCCGTGTTGGGCTC